CTTGTAGTGCTGGTTTGGTATTCATGTAGTTTCTCAGATGTTCTTTGTCATGGAAGTGTCTTATTTCCCCATCCATTTTGAAAGAGAGTTTTGCTGGATACATCAGTCTAGGTTGGAGGTTGTTCTCTTTTAGTACTTGAAATATCTCATTCCAGGCTCTCCTTGCCCCAAGGGTTTGTGTTGAAAAGTCTGCTGTGATTCTGATGGGCTTTCCTTTGTATGTAATTTGTTTCTTTTCTCTTACCTCTTGTAGTATTTTGTTCTTCTGTTGGGTTTCTGGGATCTTGATTATTATATGTCTAGGTGTAGATTTTTTTTTTTTGATTGTAGCTAGTTGGGGTCCTATATGCCTCACTTATCTGAATGTCAAATTCTTCCCCTCTGGGAAGTTTTCTGTCATTAATTCTGTGAACAGCTTTTTAAAGTCATTTGTATTTTCTCCTAGTACTTCATGGATTCCTGTCAGTCTTATTTTATTCTTCTTTGCATCATCTAGGAGTTGTTGGATCGATTTCTCATGATCTCTTACTGTTTTTAAGAGACCTCTCTTTTCATGGTCACTAACTGCAATCTTATCTTCTATATCTGAGAGCCTATCTTTGCATCCTTTTGTTCTGTTGCGTACACTTTCAATGGAGTATTTAATCTCCTGGATATCCGTTTGAATCTGTTTTATGGATTCCATTTCTTTCTTATTTTGACTGTTTATTTTTTCCATTTCTTTCTTATGCTGGGCCTTCATGGCTTCTATCATGATCCTGAGCTCATCTATTTTTTTGTCAGTTTCTGCTCTACAGTCTCGAATCACAACTTCCATTTTGCTCACTATCTCTATGGTTATCTGGGAAATCATTTCTGTTTTGAATTTTTCTAGAGCCTGATTGATCTGTTTTGTTACTTCCTGTGCTTTGAGTTCAGGGTGTCCTGGTGGTTCGCTATCGGCCTTTTCATCCTCATTTGCCCTACTGTTTGCCATTGGTAAACTGGAAGTCTGTCCTTGTGTCTTGCTTAAGTGTTTTCTCATTTTAATTTTTGTTGTTGGACTGTCCTTGGTTTACTCTCTGGATTATCACCCAAATCTTCTGATATAGTTGCGCCTTAGCTTCTGTGTCTCTAACGACCCACAGCTATTCTCATCTTCATAACATCAGAGGAAACAGCTCATCAAATCAACTGCAATGCTTTACCCCAACTGATACAATCAGCGACACATTAAGATCAAGCACAACTTGGACACTGACCACCTGTGGTAGTCACTAGTCTATCACCCTTAAATCATTTGAATTAAATTGAAATCAAGAAGCAGTCCAGAACTTGTCTGCAGTGAACAAAATTTCAATATAGTGTATTTACCATTTAATAGATCAGACAGCGAGGATGCGAGACCCCTGATCTGAGTTAGCTGATTGCTGAACCCCGTGACGCTGATTGACCTCGGGCTGCAAGGCCCAGACTGAGTTCCCCATCCTTCTGAATGGTTGAACTCCACAACGTTCTATTACAGGTTTCCCACGCCCTTTCTTTAAAGATGTTCAAAGTTGGGAACTCAGAAAAATACCCTTGATGACCACCTCTGCCTCTGCAGAGTGGGTCCAAAGACTGGCACAGTCAGGAGGTCTGAGAGTGTGGGGGGGGATAGGGGTTCAGGGGCGCCCGTGCGGCTACCTTCCCGGCGCTTGAGCGATGGCATCTGGGTCGGGAGCAGGTGTGGTTCTCCTTCCCATGGTGGATAGGGGCGCAGCCTACCTCCTGGCGCTTGAGTGATGGTTTCTGGGTCGGGAACAGGCGTGGTTCTCCTTCCCGCGGTGGATGGGTCCCAGGCTTCCTCCCGGCACTTGAGAGATGGCTGCTGGGTTGGGAGCAGGCGTGGTTCTCCTTCCCATGGTGGATCGGGGCCCAGCTTACCTCCTGGCGCTTGAGCGATGGTGGCTGGGTCAGGAGCAGGCGTGGTTCTCCTTCCCGCGGTGGATAGGGCCCAGGCTTCCTCCCGGCGCTTGAGAGATTGGGACTAGAGTGATTTCTCAAACAGGCCACTTTCATCTGGCATGATAAAGTTCTCTTTGCCTTTAATATGTACACACACACACACACACACACACACACACACACACACATAATTTAAAGCAACCTGAAGTTAAACCACCACTTCTTTTTCTTTTTTTTTTTTTCCATTAAGTTTCTCGGTTCATTTTAGGTATACAGTGTGATGACATTTATTATTGGGAATTTGTACCTTTACATGATCTATCTTGCTTCTTATTTTTTCCCCAGTTGCCTTGCCCTCCCTTCAACCCCTCCACCCATCCCTATTTACAAAGACTTTTTGTTTCCATTTTTCCCCTTTTCTCATATTTATTCCTTTCACTTCTTATATTTCTATCTACCTGCTTCTGCCTTACAAAGAAAGTTACTCTGAAATGACCAATTGTTTTGTTTCGTTTCTGTGTTCTTCAACTCTTTCCTATCTGTAAAACCAAGTGTCTCTCCTTGGTTCATTGGACCACTTATTCTGTTACAGAATGAAGAGTTTCCTGCTTTTAAAATGAAGTAAATTATGATCTTTCAATTGCTGTAATTTTCTCTGCTGACAAAACTGAATGAAAAATTGAACTCTTTTCCTTGGAGAGGTAGGGAGTATGTTCTACTGTGAGGAGGACACAAATAGAAAGTGTGTGGTCAGAGAGACGGTTTGTAGTAGAAACTGTGGATTGTCCTCAACTTTTCTGTTGTGGGTATAAGACAGACCAACTGGAAACTAAATTTCTAGTACAATTATGACTAGGCATTCCCGCAATGGTATGTGTTCTGAAGTGATATGGGCAATCTTCATCCTTTTTTTTTCTCTCTCTCTCCATTCTGGTCTTTTCTCTCCCTTCTCAAAAGAGAGAACATGGAATTTATCAGATATCAAAATGGCAAAATCTATAGATTTTACCATCCTTTATAGGTCAGATTGTAAGAAATTACCCTATTTATGTCTAGTTGGAGAGAAAAATGCCCTATAAAGCGCAATTTGGCAATCTCTACCCAAAACTGTGTATATCCATCTAATTTCTGAGGTTTATTTTACCAGTACCTATGAAAAAAATGAAGCAGGACATAGTGGCACATGGCTGTAATTCCAGCACCCAGAAAGCTGTGGTAGAACTGTCTCAATTTCAAGACAAGCCTGGACTACATTAGTGAGATCTTGTCAAAAAACAAAAACCCTCATGCATGTATAAGGTTACTCATTGCAGCATTAATTTAGGAAATATAACTTGAGTGTCACCTAATGATTAAATTATAGCATCCCTCATTATGAAAGACTTTCCTTCTCTAAAAATAATGTTTTGTTCCCAGACTGGACTTATACGGAAAGATCTCCAGAGAAAGTGAAGACATCAAGGGCAGAACAGTAATATGTGTTACTTTTTGTGAAAAGCAGAGAGATAAAGATTTGGAATTATTTGCTCGTATTTGCAGGAATTCTATGAGGCATGAGAAATGAACACGATCGCAGACAAAGACAGGGTGATTACATAATTTGTCACTCAAAATAGGAGCGTTTTAGAGTGAAAGCAGGTGTTATCAATGATAACTTCAGGGCAGCTGGTGGAAGATGGCGTTGTCCTGGGCAAACTGGTGTGCATCATCAACACTTAAAAAGTTATAGAGGGCTGAGATTTAGCTTGGTGGTGCCGTCACCTGCCTTGCAGGCCCGAGGTCCTGAGTTCGATCCCCAGTACCAAAAACAAAAAAAAAGTGTAGAATGGAAAGGGAGATGAGGATTTTTAAAAGTATTGGACTGTAGTGAACTGAAAATTTAAAAATAAACATTAAAAAAACTCATCATTTGCCACAGCGCTGACATAGAACGATTGGTAATACTCATAAGTAAAATAAATTGGACACACTTTTAAATATTGCATTCTCTGGTTGAGAAACCGAAAGTGGAAATAAGGACCAAAATGTATAACAGATATTGGGAAATGGGAAGAAAATATTCAAATGAGAAGGAAGGGGAGCGGGGAGAGAAGAGACAAGGGAAAAAAAGGAAAAATGGAAACAAAGTTTTGTAAATAAGGGGAACAGGGATGGAGTAATGGGAAAAAAAGAAGCAAGATGTGTCATGCACAGGTACAAATTCCCTGTGATGAATGTTATCATTATGTATATTTACACTATACCAATAAATACTTTGCTTCAAAAAAAAAGAACGAATGGAAATATGCAGATGCGAGATCCGGAACTTAGTGGAAACGCCGTCGTTCAAGGTACCCGACCCTTACAGAAGTTGCACAAGCAACACCGGACAGAAGTTCACCAGCCAATCTCAAGTCCGAGCGCAAGAGCATTAGCAAGGTTTGGCGCCGCCTGCGACGTATTAAACGGAGCTCCGCGTCACTCAGTCCTGAGGGCGGAGTGAGCCCCGCTCCCACACTCGGCGCTCTGGCCCAAGAAAGTGCTACTCTGTGGTATCTCTGGTTCTCTCTGGCTGGCCTGCGGAGGACCGCACTCGTTTTCTTCTCGGCCTGGAGAGGCCTCGCTTCGGCGGCTGAGCTTGGAGAGATGGCGGCAGCCGTTCGGCAGGATTTGGCCCAGCTCATGAATTCGAGCGGCTCGCATAAAGACCTGGCGGGCAAGTGAGTAGAGAGGCGGGAGAGATGCCACAGGGTGCTGTCCTTGAGGTGACCCGGCTCTTCGAGGTGCGGCGGGGAGGCCTGGCGGGCGAGGGGGGCGGGCCTGGGCTCGG